CTCTGATTTTGTAAACAGTATTTAATATTAACTTAAAACTGTTGGAATTTGCATTCATTCTCAAATTTTAATTGTTTTCCTCTGTTTATCCTTGATTTTAATACGTTAAATTTGTCGCTTCACCAGATATGAATAAACTGAAAATATTGTTTTTAAATATATTTACGTGTTTACTAAACATTTGGTTACACTTAATCATGTTTTATAAAGTAATTATGTTTTAGTGTTTGCATCCTTTTAGGAATTAGTCTCGTTTTGTTTAGCAAAACTATGTAATTATTATTATAATGTGTTTATTTTTATTTGATTTATTTTTCTCGTGTTTGTTTTTTGTTCTGTATATAATTAGTCGATTTAACCTTTGATGCAGATCATTAAAATAAATAATATAATTTCATTGCTAATATTTACTTATATTCTGTCGGTATATTACGTAGTAGGTTTACAATCTTAAAACCTTGCTAAATTATTTGCACGTTTCAGGAAATAGCGTTGTGTCCTTGATTCAGGGCACATTAATCTTCTTTCCCGCATACAATTTTTTCTGGTACTAATAATTGTGTCTTTCTCACACAATTAACATTTTCTTTAATATTGTACATAATTAATCCGAAATCTAAATAAAGTCTAAATATTTCATATCTGATCTCCCGATTCCTCCAGATGCAGTAGTTATCATCTTCCGATGACTTATACTTTATCATCATGCACCAATCATCTTCCTCCATACAAATATATAAGGATTGCTGTCTTCAGACTCACCGCCGTGAAAACTTCAAATCTTAAATATCTGATGATTTCAGTGTTCCAAATTAATTCTGAATCAGTACGAAAACTAAAGAAGGATAATTATTCTGTTCGGTATCATTTCAACTCCTCTGAGCAAAGCACGTAGAGAAATGCTTAGATGCAATTGTCCGTGTACTGAACGATGTTTTTATCGGCATTGGAATGTCATTTTTACTGCGAATATTTCACTTTTCCAATCTGGTCCAGGTCTGGGTCATTATCGGGACTCGGATGTCGTCATCGGCTGTCTTAAATTCGTTGCGATGTTCGCTGAGAGGCACTGAATAAAACGAAGATAAATGTCTGACAGTCGAAGAGCTCGTTCGGGAATCGAAGTCATACGAAGTGGATTTGATTTTCGCTGTATTTGAACGTCCAGTGCTTATCTTATAGACGCCATATTTCAGTCACAGATTCCGCTTTCTTGATTTTTATTAATCTCGTCTTTCAGTTCCATCTTTCGTTTTATTTTATTTTCGTATGTTTCGCTTTTTGAATTTCCTTACTTGTTTGTTCTATTTACTTCATTCAGTCTCTTATCTCTGCTTCGCTTCTAGGTCTCTTCTCGTCAGCCGTTTTATCACTCTCTCGCGTTATCACTTCCTCCCTTTAGTGCGTGATCTAACATTGTTTCTATTTTCTCGTTCCTTCTGCGTGCCGTGAACATTCCCTGATTCCCTTTAACTGTTCCCAACTTCTCCCGTCGTGACGTCCCCCCCCTCCCAACCCCCACCTCACACCTGTCCGGCCCATGGTTCCCTGTATCCAGATATACGACCGACGAGCATGAAACTGTAAGTTGCCTTTCCCGGGTTTTGGCCCGGGGACTGAAGCTCTCTGATTCTCTCTCTCTCTCGTTCCCCTCTGCTTTTTGTACGTTCCATTCTTATCTCTGCAGGCATTTTCCGTCTCGCCTAGTTTTATGTTGCCCGCCCTTCACTTCCTGCGTCTCTTTCGTCCTAGAAACATTTACTTCCTCCATTTTCAAGGGAGTTCTTTAAGACCGTATTTTTTTTCTTTTACATTTATGGGAGTGTAACGTCTATTTCTTTATGGGGGTTGATTCACCTGTCATGTAGCAACTGGGACATGTAATGTTTGCGGTCTGTACTCTGACCCATGACTTAACTTTCATTATTTTTGTTGTTGTTTATTTTAACCGTCTAATCACAATAAAATATTTTATTAAACATTAAAATATTATTACTATAATTAACATTTAATATTTAAAATATTTAAAATATATTAAAATATATATTAAAATGATGCTCTTTCTATCGAAATGTTCGATTTTCAATTAGAGCATTATCATTTTCACGATATGTTTCGGTTTTCAATGAACCATCTTCAGGTGTATAATCGATATAACTATTACATTATTTTGTTGGGTTATAAACTTGCGTTACCTAATTGTAAAATTAACAGAATACATTTTGTGAGAGTAGGAATCTGTGCAAGAGGAAATTAGGCTCTGTGCCGTTTTAGGTACTCCGATACACCATGACTTATATAATTTGGAATTTATGACTGTGAATCATAATGGGAATTCCAATGGAGTACAGGTAACTCTCGTTATACGTGATTTCGCTTTTCGCATATCCGATTTTTCGGCGCCGTATCGACTTCTACCTAAACGAGCTAAGGATTTAAGATAATTTTGGTAGATAATTTGTATCTAGGTTAATACAGTCATTATTTGAGCTGTGCTGATTAGGTAGAGCCTACATAAATGTATTTATTAGTGTTGAAGTTTAAGATTCTCCAGCTTGGAGCGAAAACTTTTTTTTTTTTTTTGTGTTTGTGAACTGTGCGATCAATAATCTTACTACTAACACGTTCCGAATTTCGGCGTCATGATTCTTTACAGCTTACAATATGCATTTATTCCTTCTGCCTCCTTACGTCGTGATGCACAGTCATTAATTATTGTGCCTGTTGTAATGGAAACCCGTGTTCCTTGCATTATTCATCCATCCCTTCTTCCTTAATGTTGATTTTATTTGCACTTTCGTTACTAACTGCTTGTCTGTTTTCTCAAAATGTAGACTACTAAGTAATTTTCTTACGTCATATTCCTTGATTTGCCTATTTCCTCTTTCCTTTACAGGCTTTGAACTACGTTTACTCTTGTGTGTAGGCCTACTAGAGTAGCGTATGATCCGTTAAAGTTGACGGGAACGAAACATTTTTGTGTTAAGACAGTAATAAAATTTAATATCAGCATTATTTTTGCAAATTGCATAATTTTATAAAATTACTTTAAACAAATGTGAAAACATCTTCTCGGTCACTGAAGCCAAAATTCCTACCAAAGCCACCAACACGAAACCTACCTCCTGACTCCAGAGCACGGACTCCCCCCCCCTCACTTTGATTCCACGCCAGACCCCACGAGAGGCGCCATTATAGCGTCGTTTAAATTTCTTGCTACCAGCGTCGCCACCGTCAGAACCTGATTTCAATTTGTCTGTCACTGAATGAACAGCGCACTATTTCAGTAAAGTTTGACGGTCATTGGCTATAATAAAAGGAGAATATTGTCATAATGAAGATGGCTGTCTCAAATCCTACGAATTTTATAATAGTTGAGATTTTATTTTACCCGGAATCACTCTTTGTACCTTCATTATTCCGCTCTGCCTGTTTTCTAATATGACAACTTGAGATTTTTCTTTTCTTTTGCATTATCCACATTTTATTTTCCGCTTACGTTCGTTCTGTGTCCTCTCTGCATCCAAACATTGATTCTTCTTCATCGCAGCCAATTTATTAAATGTGTAGTAAGCCTAAACTTCTCTTCACCATTCTGTTTTCTGACTTTCCTCATTTCAGATTGCACCCTTCAAAACAAATCGCTGTTCCTTTTATAGTCTGTTGTTCTTATGTCATCTGTTGACATATTTGTAGATAGTACATAACTTCCTATTTTATATATGTATTATATATATATATATTTGTCAGCCTGTCAAGCACCATCTGCGATTCTGCCTGAATCTCTTCTGTCGTCTCAAATCTCCTTCCCTTTAGCTGAATTTTCATCTTTGGGAAGAGGAAGAAGTCACACGGAGCTTAGAAAGGAAGTTGGGGTCGGTTCTTGCAAGATCTTTTAGCTCCTGACAAACGAGAAGTCGATTCTGCTTCTGGTCCTCAGACAGGATGCGTCGCCTGTGGAGTTCTTCCTTTAGAATCAGCTGACAGGTCCCATAGCCTATCCCAGCAATGTCGCACAAGTCGTTGATGGTACGACGTCGATCTTCGTAACATTTTCGGGCGTTGTGCTCGAAGATGGTCGTCCAGAACGCTCGTCATCATCGCCAGGGGTTCGGCCATTTTTAAAACGTGAATGCCCCACAAAAGTTTGTGCACGACCCATTGCGGACTCCCCAAATGCTTGCTTTAGCATTTCATAGGTTTCCGTAGCCGTTTTGGCGAGTCTTTGGCAAGAGATTCAGGCAGAATCGCAGATGGTGCTTGACAGGCTGACAAAGAAAGATTTCCAGGGATGCTTCCAGGCTTGGCTGCGGCGCTGGGATCGTTGTGTTCACTTCCAGGGGAACTACTTCTAGGGTGATGGATGAATTAAAATACCTGAGATAAGTGTACGGGTTTTTATACGCGCAGTCTTGAAACCTTCCGATCGCACCTCGTATGCGACGAATCCTTACAATTCTGCAGTAACTTTTTTATATCTGAACTCCTTATTTAGTCATACTTTCAGTCATTGCTTTGAATAGCTTCATTACTTTTTTTTCCTTTCTATGAAAACTTACTCACAATTTTCATTGAAATACCATTCATGTTACTGAATTTCTTGTGTGTTACTTTTTTTTCGTACTTCCCTTCACACCCCCATAATATAACCCCCCTTCGTCCATTGAAGAAACCCCACGTGTTTCTTTCACTCACTATTCTCACATATCTTTCCTCCATCCAGTCTCTTTACTACGTCTTTGCTAACAACTATTTTCTTTTATGACCCCCTCATCCATTCCCCTTTTCTTCGCCTCCCACCGTTGCTTTACCCCTCAGTTCTTTGCAGACAGTTCATCTTACACAAGACGTCTGTCTTCCGGAATGTTACGCGGAGTATTCTGGTCGAAATTGACCGACAGTCGCCATGAGAACCCAAAATCTTACCTCTTTCTTTATCAAATTTCCCTCTCCACTCGCTCTTCTCGTCCTCATTTCCCCGGACGGAGGAGAAATTCACGTCGTGATGTGAACGTTCTTTGATTTCTGCGTGCAAAATCATGAGGTCAACTTGAAATAAATTTCATTCCGGTATCAAATGGAATTGTTCGTTTTGATTTTTTTTTTTTTTTTGGTAACCGACTGCAAAGTTAACGAATTTTTTTTTTGCATCTTTTGAACAGAGATTGTAGTTCCGCGGTGTACATTAATATCTGGCGTTCACTTGCCGATTCAAACTTCGACCCATTGTTTTTGACTTGGCTCTAAGTCCATCATCTGTGACGACCGACAAGTCAGGCCACTCACGTGTCTATGCAGGTACATAGCTTCAATGTTGTATATTTCTCGTGTAAGTAATTTTTAAACTTCCCCCTCACCTGCTGTACCATCTAAGTCAGTTATTAAGTGAGCCTCTGAAGTTAAGTTACAGAAAGTAATCAAAGTATCTAAATTTAAGTTGACAGTTGTCTTTATTTTTTAATTTCGTGAGATAGTTTCGTGTTGTGACTAAACCTGTTTGTATAGAAGTTGGTTCATGATGTTCACAAAAGCAACACCATCTCACACTATTCTGAGCCAGTTTAATCTATTCTGCACAATCACACGCTACTTCTGTGTCATCCGTTTTAGTAATACTCTCCAGAATTTTCACATGCCTCCTCCTTGCAAGTTTGCATCTCATATTTTGTATGTAGTATGCTACAATACCTTTCGCTTTGCCTTTCCATCAGTCATCCACAGTCTGGGTCTCTGAGTGGAATTAAGATGTGTGTGATTTAGTCTTCATTGTCTCAAAACCGTGCAGATTTGTGGTTAATTTACAGGATGAAATGTAACTTAATGTCAGACTGATGTTTCCTCTGTTTCTCTGTTAACTAGTTTATGTGTTTAGCGTGTGTCTCTGTGTGTCTGCCGGCGTGGGTGACTTCCGAAGCAACTGTCTGTCCATCTGTCTGCATCTCGACTCTCTAAAACGCTGGCAACTGTCATAGTCTGACTGTGATTGACTGTGTGTCTGCCTTTGCAAGTTCCTTAGAGCACGGCTGATAGACTTAATACATTCCAGACTTCTCGTCTGTCCGAGTAGCATGTCATCCCTGTGTGTATAATAATGCCTTGCAATAGTATTCCTAACGGGAAAGTAAGTACGAATTACAGGCTTTATCAAGTTTTGGAAACGACCGGAACATACTTGGAAACAAAAGGGTGAGGAGAGCGAAAGTTTTAGGAAGGGAGAAGACATTTTTAAACATGTGTCTCAATTGGGGGAGACAAGAAATTGAGACAGAATTCTTGTAGTTAAACGTTCTGAAAGCGACCACTTTTAATACCAAGAAGATGAGAGGATAATATTAAAAATGATCTCGGTCCCATTGTTCTTTTTAATGGGAAGGATAATTTCTGGGAATTGCATGTAATAAAATTTTGATATTAACGCTTCGAATCCGAAGTTCACCTCAATAATATTTACGAATTCAGCAATACAATACAATTTTGCAGTAAAATATCTTATTTTTTTAAATGCCCGGAATCTTAATTTCGGAACGACTAGGTATGAAATGCTATATCCTGTTTTAAGGATGATACTACTATAACAATTGCTATTATCAGTCTGGCATTAAGAACTTCACAAATTTGAATACACAATCTTTAGAGAAATTTTAATATAAATGTTGGAGGTTTAGCTGAATTCATTATCTGATATCTCTGAAACGTAGACCCTGGTGCATTATTTGCATTCACTGTATTAGTCTGCCTTGTTCACGGACAGTTGGCGATGTTCATGCTGTATTTATGGCGATTTTCTGAAGCACTTTAACTCTGCTGCTAAATGGCAGCATTGATCCACGTCTGTAGACGAGACTGTAATAGAATTGTTAGATCATCGTGAACAAGTGTTCACCCATTCAGAAGGATATCAGGCACAATTGATTTTGCAGACGAATGCGGTCCCATGGGTGGGAATGGGTGTAATAACAGGCCGTTCCTGTGATGGGTTTGTATACCGGGTGTGACACGAATGTTGTACCTAGTCGGTTACATATAGTTTTATAATAATAACTATTGTGAGTAGTAACTATTTCAGACAGAGCATACTTCACAAAACAAATTATTTGATTATATGTTACACAATTGTTTATAGTTTTTGGAGATGGCACTAGAATTTATTTTCACTTCTGCTACGAAACTCGACGATGTTCAGTTCACGAATTTTTTTACAGTGTTGACCAGACATTCTAAATTTTTATTTCATTCTTCTGAGGTTCAAATAGCATACTATATTTACCATTAATATAGAAAATTAAATACATAACTCCAGTGTAAAATAAACAATTACTTCCACGATTTTATCAAATTAGACCCGAAACATTGATCATATTTATCTAAAATAATTTTTTGTAAAAAATCATACCAGTGTCACGAAATTTTAGATACCTTTTCAGTGGCATGGCACAAAAGCCGATTTATTTAATATTGCGATAGCCATGAAAAAGGCATTACTGCGTTCACTGAGTGGTAATAATATAATTTGCGATATCTAAATAACTAAACTAACTCCTTGGTATCAGAACCCGCAGGTTCAACACCGACAACACCAAAGCCCGCCACCGGACTTCAGTCCTGAGCCAATTCCGTCCATTTGCCATCCTCACAGTCCAACTCCCTAAGATCCATCTTGATGTTATCTCCCCATCTCCTTCTTGGTCTGCCCAGTGACCATTTCCCAGAAAACGTCCCCCACCAAAACTCTGTATGTATCTCATTGCTCCCCTATGCGTGCTACATGTCCAGCATAGGCAAGTACCTAGTGCACACCCTTCAATTCGAACCCTTCCTGATGACATGTTATAGAGTAAAATTAAGAAGAAATTAAGATTAAGCATCCCCCTGTTTTACGCCTTTATGTACTGGAAAGGGATCCGTCCTTTTTTTTTTTATTTGTAGTGTCCTGTCTGACGACAGGTCCATATATTATGAACAGGATCCTTCCAACCTCTTCAGGTTGTCAGGGACCTGCTCATACATATATACATTCTTGGCAGAGATGATCAGAAGTGGTTTGCCATTGCCTTCTTCTGTGTGTGAGTGGAGTAATTGTTGGGATGCCACGGAGAAACCGGGGAAGGCCCCGGAGGAAAACTCCGTGATGCCTAGACCACGGCCTTGCCCAACACAAGTTATAAATTTGAGCACCACCGGGAATTGAACCCGGGACCCCAGGCTTACAAGGCTAGTGTTCTGACCGCTAGACCACCGTGGCGAACGATCCGTCCTTACACATCTTAATTAACCTAAAAAGTTTCTTTGGTATTCCAAATTCATTAAAAATGCTATAGAGTACCTCTGTTCTAACTGAGTCAACAAATATTTGGTGTACTGACCCATTAAACATTCACTTTTTCTCTAATATTTGTCGAATGCAAAATATATGATCAGTAGTTGATTTATAGTTATGCTATATCAATTATAATAATTATTAACATATTTTTCCTTAACGGTAGCTTTATATGACATCAAAATTCTTTAGCATATTATTTAATTCGTGCGTTTAACATGGTAATGTTATGACGCTTTATATTTTTCCACACAATAAAGTTTTCGTGGCACACTCGGTATACATGAAATACACATAGCTGTATTGATCTGTACTGAGACAACACTGTACATTATCCGCCAATCAGAACAATTATAAACTAAGCGACACACATATATTAGCATATAAATGGACACCAACTGCAAGCAGCATCGCGTGATCGTGTTTTGTCGCGGTGGCCTGTATTGCACTGGTTTAACACAGAAGGCCATGATTTCTACGTACACACACACACACACACACGAGGTAAAAAATACAATTGTCATTTGTCTGTGGCATGCGGACAGTTTAGAAATTTCGAAGAACCCTTTGAAGCACGAAGCTACTTTTTATATTTAAAAATTCGGTTTCTGCGTCAAGGAAAACAACAGTTTGTTAATTCTGTTTATACAGAAAACGACATGAAACTCATAAATACAATCCGTGGACAAAATTCAGATTTATTGAATGTTAAAATAGGTTTTACGTTTAGTGATCACTGAGTAATTAAATGGATCATACATCACTTTGTCTCTCTGGTATGTACGTAGTAAACCGACAATTTATCCCATCTGTCCAACTAGGTTTAAGGGATGCTTCCTGTGTTGATCGTTAGGCTCATATTCCGTCCACAAAACAAATTTTGATTATATTTTCAATGTTTATTAACATTCACTACATCTTTCGACATCAATTGGTCATCTTCAGGTGGTTCTCTTTAAGTATTCGAAACTAATTGATGTGACTGCTAAATTGTATACATATTTTCTGTTTCGTACTTTATTGCTGAAAATTCTGTGTCTTAAGTAACTTACTTATCTAAGTAGAGTTTACTACGTAGTTGAATTGTTGTGTCGAAGGAATGTCAACCTAACTGTCTGTCTAGCTAAGTTATTAACCAGCTATTCTTAAGTAATTATTCAACTTTCTGTATATTACTAGGTACCTAATTATCAAAGTAGGCAACTAGTTAATCAATTAAGGTAGAACCCTTTAGTCAGCTAATCATCTAGCTAGCTCAGTAATTACAAATAAATTAATGAATTACCTATGTTAGTGAGTAGTTAAGCAACTGCCTATAAAGATTGTTAACTAACGAACTAAGTAACAATTCACTCAACAGTCTTTCATGTATCAGGAAATTCATGTTAACGTGCCACCATCATGATGAAAATTATATTATATCTACATAAGATATTAATCGTCAGTAGTACCACTACATCAACACAAATCTACAAAATTACGTCTATGTAGCTTCGGAACTTGGGCATACGTTATCTTTATTTACAACACCAGAATTCGAAATTAACGACAAGTTTGCATTACGTGAAAATTAGATGTTTATTTCTTTATTTTTGTTAGTAAAATTACGTTTATTAACTTATGTACACTATCTAGTAATTTATTCTGAAGTGAAGTTTTTTTTTAAAATTAAAAAATTAATTTACAACTTAGCTCTTAGCAATTTTTGTTAATTTTTTAATTGGTTAGTGTCAGGATTTTCTATCGTTATTTATCCAGTATCTGCATTAGCGTACTCAACATTTGTTCATCATTAATCGCATTTATCTCTTATTTTAATCCTTTATATTGATATTTATGATAATTTTGATGATTTAAATTGACTTTATTTTTTAAGAATTGGAACATGCGTTCACTTTTCAGTTAGTCTTCTGAAGCAAAATACATTGAAAAATCATTTAAATTTCAGATTATAAATATGTGCTCACTTTTTCTGAGTTTA